AAAGAAAAAGAAAGCTAGTTCTCGTGACTGTTCCCGTGGCTGTTGGATCTGGATTGTTGCCTTGTTTGTAGCATCTCGGTTAAACAAGTGGTGGAAAGTGCCATGTGATTGTCACACCAGATGCGTGCTGCAAATAGCAGGCAGTTAAAGGTAACTGCAAACAAGCCAAAACAGCAAGCCAATTTTGGCCCACTTACTCAACTGACACATATACATATATATATATATTTATTTTTTTTTCTCCTGGATCCACTCACAATTATTCACTGWTCACCAGAAGAGCAGGTATTAATGAATGGATCAGCATGCTCAAATCAGCACAAAAATCAATTGCTCCTACCTTAGGGACAATGAATTGGATTGTACTAAATTATTTTTTCTTTGCATACTTTATCCAGAGGAAGCAGAATTTTCCAAGGCTGATTTTTTATTTGTGCAGTTGTTTTTGTTATAGTAGAGTATGAGTGGAACAGCCAGATGCATAAGGCGATTCYCCACAGCCACACCATAGGCAGAGGGGAGAAGACCCAGGATTCCTAATTCAACCCTGTGCTGATGTCTTGACTGAGGATGAACAAGGGTGGGAAAAGGTGTGTGGGGGCGGGATTTTTCATACTTGAATCATGACATCTATTTTGGGATGGCTGAAGTGTGYCTGCAAAAACTCTGGCAGGTCTTTTATTTTCCAAACTTTTATTACTCAGTATGAGGTAGTGTGACCTGCTAATGGTCAGTTCCAATAGGTGCACACCCAAATCTCTTCAGGACAAAGCAGCCCACAGTGGGAATGTCACCAAGCAGCRTGTCCCAGTCTTCACTAGTTTGTGTGCACAAGGTTTATACAGGAAGCATCATCAACATGTTTGTGTCTTACATGTTTTGTTAGGATATATAAACATTTCCCCATAGTTTCCAGGTAGTGTCAGAGGAGCTCAGAGTAGTGAGTCAGAAGGAAGGCATTATTTTTTGCAGTCCTGTAGCAAATAGCCCAGATTGAAGGAAWCCCAAGGTTTAGACCCGAGGAAAATTCTGGTTTTATGGCATTAAAACTTTTAAATGAAGTTTGTGTTTGTCTTCCTTGCTTTCTAGCTGCCTGTGGGATAGCAGTTGCTGAGATGTACTAAAGGTCTGTGGTGATGTAGGTGCCTCTTCCTCAAGGACAAAGACAGGAAGTTTTCTAGMCTGACCCAAACCACCAACATATTCTGGCAATTTTAACAGCCTGAACTCAAACTCCTTTTGTCCTGTGAATTGCTGTTTTCATCCCTAGGACTGCTCACAAAACAGCTAAGATAGTTTGATTTCCCATGATGAATCAGAGAGAAGACTCAGGGATTTTTCCTGTTCTGATACAAATTCATGGCCTGTGAGTATATTGGTAGTGACTTCTCCTCAGCAAATGCCCTTACTGAACTCTTCCTGCCCTGATGGTGCAGTCCTGRATGTACAGCCCCAAGACTCTCTCCTCCTGCTTCCCCACTTCCTCTTCATAAAGCACTGAATTCCCAGCTCTCTCCTTCAGCTTTAATAATAACAGTAACGTCACTGGCAAAACAGGCAGGAAGATGATACATGCACAAAGAGTGACCAACACCTAAAYATCTGACTTAGGGCTGTTAAAATGTCAGGCCACGGGCATGTGACAAACCCCACGTTCTGGATTTGTTTGCTAGAGGAGGAACTGGAAATGGTGTTGGYTGATTTTCCTACCTTGGACTGCCAGCACAAAGTGGTCCTCCACAGACTTTCAAAACAATATATTTTCTCTTAACCCAGAGTGCCAGAACAGCTCCGAGCACGTACTGTACTGCTGTGTCTGGAGGTCATGTGGGTGCATTCTAAAAGGGATTTCCCAAGCGCTGCCAATGCTGTAGCCATAGGAGCAGGAGACAAAAATATTTGCACAGATTCTGGGGGCAGGGCTTGCAGCCTGTGCTGTACTACACAGTCCTCCTACTTATAACTCTGTTCTCCCTTGGGTATTTCTTTCACTATTACCTCCCCCTGGGTACTTTATTTGTGCCTCTGCAGACTGACTTTTTTTTTATTTATTTTTTTAATCTTCAGTGTGGATTCTGCATATCAAAGCCTCTTTTGTCAGAAAACTTGTGCTTTGTGATCTGARTGGTGATTAAACGACAGATGGCATACCTGAAGGCATTTGAGATTCTGGACTGCTTGCTGCCATCCATGGCACATTCCTTGCCTGGTGTCTCTCCTATATCCCTCGTGACTGGTCACCAGTTTCTCTTGGCACTGGATCTGTAGTACCTTCAGAGCCAGTATGGGCACATTGGTCTTGGATGAGGGCACAGGGTTAGTCACTCGTCTAGTAAACAATGTCTAATTGTGTAAATGTTTTCCTTTCCTCTAGGAAAGGGCTCTGTATTGTCTATGCTGAACTGCTATTCTCTACACTGCTCTGTTCTCTAGCGTTTCTTATTATTTTACAAAAAAAGCTCCTCATTCTTCCCAAACATCTTGTATGATCCAGCCTCAGCTGAAGGTGCTTTAATGCATACAAATGATTTCGTGAGGAGATTAAGGAACATACCTTGCTCCGTGATCAAAAGCAGCAGTAAAGCACAAAACCCCAGACCTGAAAAGCAGAGTCTGAAATCCCCTTTGTTCCAGCCAGTGACTGGGAGTGGCCTGTTGGGGCCGGGCATCATTGTTCCTGTGAAAACAAAGGAACGACAACAGCAGCCGGGCCAGTGGGGTGTTTTTGAAAACCGGTTTTTCTCAAGTGCTCTGTGTTTTAGGGGAACCTAAGGGTGGCACTGTTACCAAACAAGTTAGCATTTCTTGAAAAAGCAGCCTGTGCAGCGTGTGGGGAGGAAAATTGCTTTAAACGGATTTAATCCATGAACTAATTAACGGATGRTGGGCAAACTCTGGGTGATGCCCTTGTATTAGAGAAACAAATAAGGAGTTTAGGGACTGACATGCTTCAGTGCTCTTATTCCTCAGAGAGAAATTTATTGTTGAGACCTGGACACAAAGAATGCAGAATTTATTAACCACAAAGACACAGAAACCAGAGATGAAGAAGAAACTAACAATTACTGAGACTATCTGGGAAAAAGATAGTAAAAAGACTAAAAATGCAGGCTAATTAGCATGAGAAGGAATTGAAGCATGCTTTAATGACTGCTCCTGCACTGGGACTACTCGACTTGCCAGGCAGGATTGCTGCCCTGTGGAGCAAGTACCCATGGCACGTTAARTGCCTGCACAGCTCAGAGTTTGCAGGCAGGAGGAGTGGGATGTTCCCCCTGGAAACCACTGTGAAGACTTCCAGGGAGTTTCTGAGCTTGACGGTACTTGACACATGTTTATCAAGCTCAAATGTCTCTGCTGCTTCAGGCTTTTACTGTGGAGTAAACAAGAGCCTTCCAGGAAATGTTCTGCAGCTTGGTGAAGTCAGGCCTGGACAGCACTTCAGAGAGCAGCTGATAAAATAGGTCACTCTAACAGGTGTTCCACAAACAGTTATTATTATTATTATTATTATTATTATTATTATTATTATTTCAAAGCCAGGTTGGATGGGGTTCTGAGCAATCTGTTCTAGTGAAAGATGTCCCTGCCCTTGCCAGGGGGTTTGAACTTGATCATCTTTAGAGACCCTTCCAACGCAAACCATTCTATGATTCTAAGATTGAAGAATACTGTATAGCACAAGAATCATAAACTTATGTGTCACTTCACTTAGTCCATTCCAATTTATCACTCACTAATAATACAGTTAGGCACTGACTAGACTTTTTAGGAAGAAGTTTGTGACCTCAAAATCAAGACCCTCATTAAATTCCTTTAGATACAAAATTCCAGTGACTGGGCAAGGTTTGGAACATTATTGAAGATATTTTGGTTGTTTAATTCAGCTTTATTCTGTCCCTGAAGCTATCTTGTGAACCTTCTCTAAAATTTTCTGTGGTTGTAATCTCAGCAGCAGTTAGGTTCCTAAACATGTTTGGGACCTTGTCCATGTTAAACCTTATCCAACACTGTCCTGTTTCTTCTTATCTACAAAATAACTGTRTTTTCTGTATTTCACAGGAAAGAAGACCAGCATATTAGGTAAAGTGGGAATTGGGTACTTCAGCAGGAAGGGCCATGCAGGCATTTCAAAAAGATGTGACCTGTGCATTCATATCAACATGAACATATACATTCAATTTATTAATGGCTGAATATATCATCATGTGATATTTGATGTCATTGCGTTTTAATGTTTTCAGATGCTGAATCCAGGGTAGAGACAASACTGACACAGTTCAACACTCACCTTCTCCTGACTGCCTAATCAAAGATTTTACAGATGGGCCACTCCTATGTCCATCCAGTTTGATTAATATTTCTGGATGGTTCAACATATTTGTATTGACCAAGAGAGACTCTCAGATTACTCTGTCTGAGAAATAACTTGCATGTTTTACATGGTCTTACATCAATTGATTTGGTTTTGACAGCAACATTAGGAATTAGTAAACAAGACTATATGAATACATTGAAAATATGATTGAGCTTTATTTTAGAGGTAGTGTTCTTTCTCCTCCCCTTRTTTGATCTGTTGGTACATATATAATATTTTGAATTCAAATGTAAGAGCTCATGCCTACTATTTCACAATTGCTTTATATACCATTCAAAACCAGACTCTGTTCATTCCATGTATCCATTTAGGGCACACTCTGTACACACTGTCTGTATGCRTGCTGTCTTTTACTTACATGCAGATAATTTCCTTTTGTTATTATTTTGTTTTTAATTTACTGTAAGTGGTTGGCACTTTCCAGAAGTTTGGTGTTATTACGGGATCATAATAGACCTTTGCAATTGTAAATGTCTTTTTTTTTTCTTTTTCTTCCTATTTTGAAGACCATTTGAAGACCATTTGAAGACCATTTTGAAGACCATTATCTCTGCCATCCTGAGGGAATTTAGGCTAAAGGCAAGTGGAATAAGACTGTGTCTGCAGTAACCTTGCAGATCACCAGCCTACAAAATGGCTCAGCACCTTGATGCTGCTGCCTGCTTATTTGTTCAAAGTGTGATACTAGTGTTGTGTGTTTGTAATAAGTGGGCTTAGAGAATGCAAATTATCTCAGGGAGGTATCAGGAAGCGCCATTAAGCTATGCTAGATTTGCAAATATTTGGAATTTTAGTTACTTTTTCTCCCCTTTCTCAATTGACTAAGGAAGTTAATCTGAATTTCTTAAAACCCTGCCCAGCTGTGTTAGTCTCTGCAKGTAACCATCCTGTATGATTTGCTGTGAAGTAAAACCAGACATTAGTGTCCTGGGAGGGCTGACTGGGCATCCTTGCCCTCGGCAGACGCTTGTGGCTTTTCCTCCGGCACTGGATCCAGGTCTGGCACCTTCTGCCCCGCCTTGGCGACTGTGAACCTGCTCATGTGCAGAGCTTCCTCGTACACGGGAGGGGTGTCTGCTGCCGAGAGGGGAGCTGGTCCCTGGGCAGCGTTGTGGGAGTGAGCCACCGCCAATATCCTCCTGGCAGCAGGCCCAAACACTGAGTGGAGAGCTGCAAGAGAGGAAACCCAAGATGTTTGCCTCACCCTGAAAGSATCATGTGATTAGAGCAGGGCAAGGATATCTGCAGGACACAGGCTTTTCTTCTCCCCACAGCCAGAATGATTTCGTTGCCCTGCCCCTTCAGTCTTCCCTAAAAGGAATGTGTGTGAAATCCTGCTGGCAACATCCCACAATTACTCTCTCCTGAAATGCCACTGAAAACTGTAGCTGCCCTTWTTCCACCCAAACACGTCTCACAGCTGAGCACCTTAATTTGTAGCCTGTACTGAGGTCGCTTTCCCTCCATCCTGCCATGAACCTCCCTCTGTCAGCCTCGGTGTGTCCCCGGCTGGGCTTTACAGTGCAGCCCCTCTCTTCACAGGGTKTTGAAGTGCCCAGGATCTGGAAGGCCAACTCACAAGTGATGGTGCTCTGGAGGGTGCTGTCGTGGTCAAACGCAATGACCGTCACCTCGTAGGGCTGAGGGCCCGACTCGTCCCCTGTGCGATGGCAGTGGAAGCAGCACCTCACGCAGACAGAGACCAGGCCACACAGGAGCACSAGCCCCCCGATCACCAGCACCAGCCTGGAAAGGGAGGGGACACACAGTGAGCACAGAAGGATTCTGTTTGCAGGATACTTCTTAATGTCTCTGACTGCTTACAGTATGGCTAACCTCAAAGCTAAACAAAGTCACCTGGGGCCTTGTCCAGCAGAGTTTGGACAGTCTGCAGGGATGCAGATCCCTTGTCCTCCCCAGGCACCTGTTCAAGTTCTGTACCATCCTCAGGGGAAGCATTCTTTCCCTGTCTAATCAGAATTTTCTTGTCTGCAGCTTGGTCAGCCACCGTAGGTGCTTCTACTGAGCACCTCTGAGAGGTCTCTGTCTTTATCTTCTCTCAAAAYCCCCCTTTAGGTAGTGGAAAACTGCAATTATGCTGCCCCCACAGCCTCTTCCAGGCCGAAGAAACCTGGTTCTTTTTATTTGCTCTCCAGGGGACTGATTTCAGTTTGTCAACATCAGTTTTGTACTAGGAGACAAAAACTAGTTATTCCAGACATCTCATCACAAGTGACAGAAAGGAAAAGCTCGATCTAGCAATTTTCTGTCTGTACCCTTACTAAAGCAGCCTTCTAATAGTCAACAACTACGATTCTTTTGGATCTCACCCTGCTGAGAATGACTAAGAAATCAGACAGAAATTATTTCAAAAGTGAGTCTTTTCAAAGGCATATTGTGCCACGAGTGCCTTATTAATATAGTTCATATGACTAAATATGTGAAATGAAAATGGAGCCTGGWAGGTCAACTTTTGTTAAAGACAATGAGACAGCTGAGGGGTTGCTTTCCTCCTGTACAGCATTAGAGCATCCCAAGGAAAATTGGAGGGTGGCATCACACATGAGCAGGTCACATTTAATCCCATCCTTTGCTACTGGAACTGTCTAGAGATGCAGATAGTCAGARTAAACATGTTATCTTACCAGATATACCACAAACGGTCCCATTCTGTACCTGAACAGCTGAAGAGAAGAGGGTACAAGAAATAATTATCCACAGAATACCAAATAAATGGAAAGATCCCTGTGGTAYCCTTCTCCATCTCCCCTCATGCTCCTCACTTACTGTCCAGCTTCCAAAAGGCACAATGATGAGAAACACGTTGCGCTTTGTGGAAGACACAGTTGTCCAACCTCATCARTATCCCTGTTAGTTGTGTTTCCCTTCTGTTGGCTTTATCTCTTTATTGTTTTCCTGATATTTATGCTTGCCCACTTCCATTTGCAAACCTTAGAGATCTGAATTCCCATTTGGTTTTTTGTTTTTGTCAATATATAATTTTGATTATTCTTACCAATTACATTGATAGTAGTATTCATCAAAGCAGTATATTTCYAACCATTTTTTCAAGGGAAGTTAGATTCAAAATTCCTAATCTCAGCCAATTAAAATTACATCAGAAAGCTCTTAACTATTGCAGTAATGCAAATAGACAGTAGGATAATACCACATGGAGGAGATGTTGGTCAATAAAATAGGAATCGATACACTCCACATTCAAAGTAATGATGATTTTACATTATTTTTTAGTACAATCAAATAAGCTTTTCTGGAAAATGTCAACCATCATGTCATAACACCCATATCTACTATTGCTTTTGTTGTTCATTGTTTTCTCACAAAAAGAGCAAGATTGACAAATGCTTACAATTCAGCGTTGAGGCAGCCTTCCTCACCTCTTACATGGGGGAACTAGAAGRAAAAAAACAGAAAAGACATAGGTAGAGAGAATGAAATCTTTGTCAAATGCATCTTTTATATATTACCTGGACTGTTACAAGTCTGGATCTCCTACAGTAAGGACTTACTTTTATCTATCTTCCATTGTTTCTATCCTATATTTTTTGCTGTAGATTTGAAGTTACAGTGATACCAACTGCATTGTTTCATATATTAATTTACTGCAGTCCTTAAAATCCTATTTAGTACTGTTCTTAMYTTYATCCTCYCCACAACTTTCCCTTTCTCCACCAYAAGCCATGTWTATACTTCTYCATGCTCAAATATTATGAAAATTTWAATACCCTGCTTCATAYTGTACCYACTYYGGCTTGAAAACTGCTCTGTCCCTCCAGCAGTCCTACCCTTCTGAATCCTTTTTCTTGGGTACCCTGACATCTGAGTTGCCATCTCTGGAATAGCAGCAAATACTATCTTYTCTGKGTGKGCCTTTTATATGTCCAGCTCTTTCTAMYATCAGGGAAATTATTATGACTAATGGCCCTCCATCTTTCTAAGGTAACTCCATAATCGAGCAGAGACCCCATAAAGAGGAATGTCAGTGGTGACTTACCCATAAGAAACACCCTACAACAAAGTAGATCATGTCTGAGTTATGCATCCCTGTAAGGTGTTTCTGTGGCCTCTTGGTGTCTCAAGYTGCTTGGAGTCTTCTTGTCTTTTCTACTTTCAGTTCATCCTCMCCAGTCCAGTAGCCAGGAGAAGGAGCAGGTTCTGTACTGTGTGTTGAATCCAATCTCTTCCTCCTACTCTACCTCTTTCTGCCCTTCAGGTTTTTGCTTTCCCTCTTTCCCTTTTGTCACTGGCAATTCCTGATTGTTTCTGCCTGTCTGTTTTTGTTATTCTACTGGGCTGCTTCTCTTCCTCTTTTGAAGGGATTTCTAAAGCCTTCCAGTCAGATCAGGAGAAGAGCAGTGGCTACAGGTTCTTACTTTAGATGTTTAACTAGTTCAGTGAAGGGCATCATGAGATCTCTGCAGACCTGACCCTTCCCTTCTATGAGCAGAAAAGGGTCTCTGAGTTTGTTCATTCCCAATTATTTCTCTCTCCGCCCCTACCCTGAGGGGAGTGGGTTGAAGGTCATGTTACTGACCTGTTTAAATGGAGTTCAGATCCCTCTCCATTCTCCAGTACCTTTTTCTGCCCCTGCACTCACATTGTCCTGCCTCTGTGAATCCAATCTACTGAACTGGAAATGAAAGAATTTGCCATGTAATAACTATATCCAGCATTATATAGACACACATATACGTATATGCAGTTATATGTATATGTAGATATATGAGGGTGTATATATGCAACATATATGGGTGCATATGCATCTATATCTATATATCTATTTCTGTATCTATATCTATACCTATTTCTATATCTACCTACTCATATGCAGCAACTCTTGTACCTCCCATTTTAAGGCTCAGCCATCATCCCTCTTACCTGCTCTTGTCCTGCTGTGCCAGTCCKGCAGCTGAGAGTTTACTCACAGGTCCCACTCCCAAATTTCCTGCATGGCCAGCCAAATCCCCCTGAATTCCTTGCAGGACATGGAATACATATTGATTCTCCTGTCCTGGATATTATTTGTCCTGCAGCTGGTTATACTCACAGGTTCCATTCAATGACCCATAAATTGTCTCTGTCTTGTAGAATTGCTTAAAAATTCTGTTAATGCTCACAGCCATKCAGAGTTTTATTACAGGCATGTAATTGTGTTCTCCTAATCTTTCTCTTTTGAATAACTGAGACATAAAAAAATGCTCTGCACTAATGTGTAACTATTTGTGTTTGGGAACCACCTGGGACCAGTGCATTAATGTTTTTTMAAGGCAGGATAGCAGTGAGTGAGACTTGTTGCCCCTTGTTACAATCACAGTCCTTTCACATTAAACTGGTGAATCATTAGCCCTGGTGGTGCCTCTTGGAGTTGCAGAGCAGAACCAATGGATTCATGAATATAATGTRTTCTCCCAAGGCAAGCTAAAACCCATTTGCCATTCTCTAATTATAAAAAAGCAATGGTGCAGTATAAACATGTCTTAGCAGTAGTTTATCCATCCATCCATCCTAGACTGCTGGAAGAAGGTTTCTGAGTCCTGATGTACAGTAAGAAATAAAAAAAACCCATGAAAAAACATGACTTATTGATGTGGTATTTACATGGGAATTGACCAATATTCTTTTTGTCACCTTCTTCTAAATTCTTTTGTATATTATAGAAGTCTTAGAAGCAAAGATCCAGCAGAACTGTAAAACAGCTTTCTTTGTATGCATAGCGTCTGAAACTGCTGGGATTCAATGCGGGAAACAAGTACAAATTACCAGTGTTTTTCAGGGCTTTTCATTATCAATGTGATAATGCAATAGATAAACACTTGATTTTAGCTGAAATTCAGTCATTTGATAATCTCAAATTTTACAAGGATCCWACTGGAGAAACACCAGATAAAGTGCCAAAAAATTTCCCTAAAGAAAAAGCAGCAGTATGACATAACATTGACCTCCTCCAAAAGGATATAGTAATTAATTCTAACTGAAACTTATTRATTACTATTCTTCAATTTCTATGGCATTGCTGTGCTTCCAGTGTTACCAAGAAKAGGTAAAAATACAAACTCCTTAACAGCAGGCATTCTTTATTCAGCTGGATACATGAAGGGATGTCCTCTGAAATATTTTGCATGGTGAATACAGGAAAACCTCCTGTTTGGATACTTTATTTTACACTTTATCATTGATTTGATAAATTTGGTAATGATTTCCCTGAAATCTTTAATTGTGCATCATCCTCTCTGCAGATGTGTTTTTCTGTCCTGGGGTCTCCTTGGTGGTCCCTGATGGTTGGTGACCCCAATGCCTGGTGAACTGGTAGAAGTTGGCACAACTGGGCTGGTTGCTTTCCAGTTGTTCTTCCTACAGAATAAGCACTGTGCAGTTCCATAGGCCAGTAGTTTTCCAAGAATGATCATTGCATTAATCCACCAGCTGCAAACAATTCTTCATCTGGCAACATTCCCCCCTTTAAGGCTTGTGAAGCTTGTCTTTAACTGTTTCAGGAGGCAGCCTTTTCCTGTTTATGGGGTTGTCTTTTAAACAAATTGGAAGTTATACTGTTACTGATTTTTCTATTTCAGTCATTCCCACACTAAGCACAGGGTTTTGGAGATATCATAGACTAAATTCCCCTATGGGTTTTGTTGTATTTTTTTCCCATTACTTTCCTCCTTAGTGGAGGTGGAACTATAACCTGTTGGCTGCTTGTTACCCACCATCTGTCTTGATTCTTAGTGGCTTTTAACATATCTGCTGAACGTTGGTTTTCACTGGCAGAATTAGGCTTAAATTCAGATACGTCAATTTTTTTTTTGTGGCACTAAATCTGGGATGACTTTTTCAGCTACTCCTCCTCAAGCTGGTTCCCACTATCACATTAGATTGTCCAGGTGCATAGGCTTTGCAATGCATCRCTGCAACCTCCTTTGGTTTTTGAATTTCTTTCAGAAGTTGTACAATTTCTTCTTTATRTTTAGTAGATGATCCTTGAGTGGATAGCAGTTCTCTTGCCTTTCATGTAAATCCATGAGCATAAATTACACCAAATGCATAACTAGGATCAATCCAAATACTCACTTTTTTTTTTTTTTTGCCTGCTGCCAAGTTCAGTGCTTATTTTAGTGCTATTGTCTCTGTTTTTGGGGCTAACATATTAATTGRTGAAGTTTGAGCTTCTGGTATCTCAATGGCAGTCACCTCTGCATATCTTGCCATACAGTTTCCGTCTTTCACAAAAATGCTGCCAGCTGTAAATAATTCTAAATCAGGAATCTCTACTGGTTCATTCTGCAAGTCAGTTCTGCTGGAATATACATGTTCCATGGTTTGGAGATGTGCCAGGGCTCCCTCATCCACTGTCTCTAGACTGAGAAACATAACTCGATTCATCATCTGTAATTCCTCATCATCCTGTTCCAAAAGCACAGGTAGGTATTTGAGAATCCTGCTGGGGGATAGGCAATGCCCCTCCTTTTGCTCTAATATGGACATCATTATGTGGGGGACAAAACCAGTGATATGCTGTCCAGTCCTGAGCTTCCTGACTTCTTGGATCAGTAGAACAGTTGCCGCAATCTCTTGCAAGCATCCCAGCCACCCTTGCTCACACTGTCCAGCTGTTYGGAGAAACAGCCCACAGGTCTCCTCCAGGTTCCCAACTTCAGCATCAGGACTCCCAGGTCCCCTCGACTTCTTTGARCATTCAATTTYCCCAATAAATCTCTCCCCAACGAGGGGATTGGGCATTCAGGCATATATAGAAACTGACAAGTAATCCAATTCTTTCCTAATTTAGATTTCATGGGTTGTAAAAAGGAACGAGTTTSACTTTTCCCTGTAGCACCAGTTACATTTACCACATTGTGTAAATTTACCACGTTTACCCATTTACATTTACCAATTTACAGTTTACCACATCCTTACCCAACTTTCCTTTACATGTATTCAATACAGAATAAGTTGCTCCTGTGTCTACCAAAAATTTCACTTCTTTCCCCAGACTCAGGGGTTCAGCTGGGATGGAATGCCCCGTTTCCCTTCAATCTTCATGTTCTAATCTAACAGCCTGTGAGGCAGGGTCCAGTTTCCTAGCCTGCGGGCATTTTGTCTTCCAAGCCCCTTTTCCTTACCAAGTGCACTCTGGTCTTTCCCTAATCGTAGTCGGGAAAACGGTGCGGGCGTCCCGTCTCCTCTTTCCCTAGTTCCTCCTCGCCTTCCTCKTTCCCTGCCCGTTGGACAGTCCCGTAGCACCCTCTAGAGTTGCAAGTAGGTTCTCGTTTTTCCCTTCTCGCCTGTCTCATTTCTTTTTCCCTGTCCCTGCTGTGATATGCTTTCCACGCTTCATCTAACAACTTTCCTAAGCGACACGAGTCCACTCCTTCCAGTTTCTGGAGTTTCCTTCTAATATCTGGGGCCGACTGYCCTACAAATATAGTTGCTAACTATACAGCCCCCCACAGGATTCTCAGGATTCAGATTAGAGTATTTTCTGGCAGTCACCTTCRATCGTTCCATAAAAGTTGTGGGGAATTCAGTCCTGTCCTGCTTTACCTCGTTTTACAGTTCTTACAGTTTTGACCAGTTCATGGCTTTCGGTATAGCCTGCTTTACACCAAATAATGCCCATCTCTGGTACCTTGCTAAACAATCTCCAGCCCAGGTAAAGTAGGGTCCCTCCCACCTTGGGTCTGTTAAAGGAAGATTCTGTTCTACAGTTCCTTCTAAGTCTCCATGAGCATGTGCCCCCTCCAACTGCTTTCTGCCCACGGTCAAAATAATATTTTTTCCTGTACTAACCAACGATATATTTAACACAATTTATGTATCATTCCGGTCAGGGTCCTGACTGATCACCACCCTGTSAACCAGACCATGGCACTGAGTGCCACATCCAGTTTTCCTTAAACAGCTCCTGGGATGGTGACTCCACCACCTCCCTGGGCAGTTCATTCCATTCCTACTTCACCGAATTATTTTTAGGTTTTTTCACATGTCAGGATAAGGGCAGCCCCTTGCTTTCTGCCTTCTTTCCATTTCTCCACTGCTTTAGCTTGAACTTCTTAATAACATTTCCCCCCAGTCAACCTTGCAGACAAATGGTGCATGAAATTATCCTGTGGAGTGGGACCAGAAAGGCTTTGGCAAACACTGATTTTAACTGTTCSTTCTAAAAGCTGCAGAGAACACAGGCTGTTGAAGAAACAAAACTTTTTCCTTCAGTGACTGGTACTGAAGCAATGCCACATGTTGTGCTAATTCCCTTGATTCAGCCGCATAACACAAAGGAAAGCAAGTACTAGAGTTGCCTGGCATAGTCCCAAAAAAAGCAAGACAGCAGCTAGTGGAAAATGATGAAAACAAGTGCATTTTTATACAGCTGGAGACTAATGAACTGAGCTTTAAGTCCACCAACCAGTTTTTAA